TCATGATGATAATGATAAGTTAATATTAAAAAATAATACAATAATAATTTTTTATACAATTTTCACATATTATAAAATAAGTTAATAAACTTAATATTACAAGGTACCTTCCACATTTCTTCATCGAACACTTCCTTTGCAAGTTCTCTCTTCATTTTTCCTTGAAATGTTGAAACCCTTTTGGGTAATCTTGACTTCTACCTACCCCAATTATTTTGTTGATCAGCTCTTCTTTTCTTTTTTGCAATAAAAAATATTTCTATTCTCAATGGATAGAGAGAATTTGAATATTTGAAAAAAATATAATTATAATACTACCTATGTTTATAAAATTCTCATGATGATAATGATAAGTTAATATTAAAAAGTAATATAATAATAGTTTTTTATGCAATTTTTAAAATATTATAAAATAAGTTAATAAACTTAATATTACAAGGGACCTTCCACATTTCTTCATTGAACACTTCCTTTGCAAGTTCTCTCTTCGTTTTTCCTCGTAATGTTGAAACCCTTTAGGGTAATATTGACTTCTACCTACCCCAATTATTTCGTTGATCAACTCTTTTTTTGCAATAAAAATATTTCTATTCTCAATGGATAAAAGACAATATGAAATTTGAAAATAATGTAATTATAATACTACCTATGATTATAAAATTATCATGACGATAATGATAAGTTAATATTAAAAAATAATATAATAATAATTTTTATACAATTTTTATATGTCATAAAATAAGTTAATAAACTTAACAGTACAAGGGACCTTCCACCTTTTTTCATCAAACACTTCCTTTGCAAGTTCTCTCTTCTTTTTTCCTCGTTATGTTGAAACCCTCTCGGGTAATCTTGTCTTCTAACCTACCCCAATTATTTCGTTGATCAACTATTCTCTTGCAATAAAAATATTTCTATTCTTAATAGATAAAGATAATTTGAAATTTAAAAATAATATAATTATAATGCTACCTATGATTATAAAATTATCATGATGATAATGATATAGCTACTGTTAAAAAGTAATATAATGATAATTTTTTGTATAATTTTTATATGATATAAAATAAATTGAAAAACTCAATATTATGAGTTTTAAATAAATAAATAAAATTAATTATTTTAATAACACGTAAAATTGTATTAAAAAGTATAAAAATTATTTTTAAATCATTTTTCTATAATATTAAATAAGTAGAGATATATAACATTACATGTGATCAACATAACAAATGAGTTTTATAAAAAAAAATGACAAAAGAGGTAACTATATAATAATATATTATATATAATTGTAAAATTATAATGCCATGTGCAGAGAAAATGTGTAGATAAAAATA